ATTCAGTCATTCACTGCTGGCTCCTTCAGTCATCACTGGCTCATTCATGCATTCCCTCCCTCACTCATTCATTCAATGGCTCACTCATTCATTCACGGTTCAATCATTCACTCACTCACACACTTAATTCTTTCTCAATTTACTCACCCACTCATCAATCACTTAACCTAATCAATTACTATTTAAGGGACAATTTTACTACTACAGGCACCTCATAGACTGAAGATCCAGCTTTAAAAATGACAATAAATCCCCCAACCTCAGGGATCCGGAATTCTAGTGAGGAGACAACATGTAAACAAACCTTCAGTTATAAAGTATACAGTAAGGAAAGCAAACAAGGCAGAGAGTCATCTTGAGAGGGTGAGGTAGGAGTGATAGGTTTTCAGGGGAACATTGTTGTTGAAACACTGAGTTTTTTCTTCACGGCACTAGGGACGGAACCCAGGGTGCTCTGCCACTGAGCTACATCCCCAGCCTTTTAAATTTTCTACTTTGAGAGAGGGTCTTGTTAAGTTGCTGAGGCTGGTCTTGAACTTGTGGCCCTCCTGCCTCAGCTTCCCGAGTAGCTGGGAAGTATGATTTAACTGTCCTGGGCTTCGGGAAGTTGGAGATGGATAAGGTGCAGGAGGACCAACAGGCTCCTTTCGCTGAACCTAGGGTATCACCACCTGTTCACATTCCACCACGGTGGGGTGGCCGAAGGATTCCCCAGAACCCACTGAGTATGTCCTTGGCTGAGGACCCCTGGAGCCTTCTCCTACAGTAGTCTGCGTGTTGTGGGTGAGACTGCAAGCCAGGTCTCGCCCACTGCCCTCCCTCCCTTCCCCAGGTCCTTACTGAGCACTTGCGATGTGCTGGGTACTGCTACAGGGGTAGGAGCCCTCTCTGTGGAGCCCAGCTCCTGCCTGGAGAGGCAGCCATTAAAACACAGACACATTAACACAGGTGTCTCCTCCCAAGGAGGAGCAGGTGGGGGCCCACTGTCTCCCACCCACCCTCACCCCACGCTGCCGTCACTGTGCCTGTGTGGGCTACAGGCCACCCTGGAGGGAGAGTTCCCGGCTCGGCCTGATGGAGCCAGGGGACGTGGATGGAGGCTGAGGGAAGGGGGCGGACGGGTCTGGTCCTGAGCCTCTGACTCGTCCCTTGCAGCCTGTCCCAGAACAGCATCACCGACGTGGGGGCCTGCAAGCTGGCCGAGGCCCTGCCCTCACTTGCTGCGACCCTCCTCAGGCTCAGGTGAGTGGGTCCTGGTGCCGAGCTGGCGGGCTGGGGTGACGGGACCCCTAGCCATCGCTCTCGGCTGTGACACTGCTGCCCCCAGTTTGCACGACACCAGGCGGGCAGCCAGCCAGACCAGCTGAACAGGACTCCCTAGGGAGGCGCATCACTGGGCCCTGAACAGGAGGGTCAGCAGGACCCAGGGGAAGAATGGGGGGGCCTTTCCTCGGCTGAGCCTGTTTCCCCACCTGGAAAATGGAAACCCTCCCAGAGGCCTGTGCGAAGCGCCTGATGCAATGCCTGGGGGGTGGGGGAGTGGCGCCTTCCCGACTGGAAGCAGGACTGGGCTTTTCTGGAGTCCAGGGGTGGTGGCTCTGGAGGGAATTTGCTGGTCACTCTCTTGCCAGTCAGTCTTACACTGCCCCCTCCTGGTGGGACTCAGCACAGCACCTCATGCTGCTCGCTGTGGTGTGGTACCAGAGACTGAGGGCCAGAGCTTGGGCAGAGCCACAGTCCTTCAGCTTGGCACAGCCAGCTCTCCAGCCTGGGGGAACCTCCCTCCCCTTCCCCAGGCCTCCTCACTGACATCCAGAGTCACACTCCAGGGCAGATGGCTTCTGGTCCACTCCTAGAGGTGCACCCAGCACGGAGCACAGGGTGCAGCTGAGCAGGTTGTGTACTGCACAACTTGTAGTCCATGTGCCAGAGTTGTGCTAGTCATCCAGTGTTCTCCAATGTGAACTGAGGGCCAGAGCAGTGCTAGGTACGAGACATTGGGTTTTTCAGGGCCAGAAGGGCCTCCTGTGGTGGCCATGGTAAATAAGGGACAGGCGGCAGATGTGGTGGGAAAGGCCACCAGAGTCCCCATCGTGCAGAGGTGGCTAGTAGGCTGGACGCAGGCCTTCCTGTTTCTGTGATATGAGTGGAGGGCAGGAGGGGTACACGTCCTGTTTTGTGAACTCTGAGATGCCACCCCTCCTGACACCGCTAAGCGCAAAATGCTGCGACACACCCTGTGCTCCATGGGGCCAGAGGCCTGTCCCGACCCCAGGTATCCAGACAGACGTGGCCTCTCGGCAGCAGAGACACGCACAGGGTCCCTCTGCCTGCGTGGAAGGAGGGGCCTCCTGGGTTCCCAGACCTGCCCCAGAAGACACGCAGCCTGTCACATGCAGCCCCGCAGGGCGCCTCTGAGGCTGAGCCACGGAGGAGGCGCCCCTGAAACCAGAACCAGCGCAGCTCTGGCCTGGGGAAAGGATGCACAGGAAAGAGCGCACAGCGTCCCTCTGTGCCAGCGTCACCCACCACGTCATCTTCGCTGCTAGGAACGGTGGCCGGGAACGGACCACAGAAACCCAGGCTGGCCCAGTGACGTGGTCTTTCTCTGGCTATGCCAGCCCTGGCCACACCTCTCTGGTATCCCTGTGAGCCTCACGGGGCACCTGTGGGACAGTCAGAGTTAACAGCCGGGCCCTCCTCATCTGCCCTTTCCCACGATGGCTCAGGGTGTCGTCTGGGGAGTGAACAAAGCCACCCGAGACTGAAAGGCAGCCGGGGCACGGATGGGCTCCGAGGCCAGGAGGTCCTTCTCCCAAGAGTCCCCACTCTCTGCCGGGAACCGCTTCCCCTCACGTGGCCACAGAGATGAGCCTCACAACTCTGGCCTCAGTTTGCTCCTCTGTAAAATGGGACAGTGGTCCGAGCTGAGCGCGATCCCGCTGGCCCTGGCCCTCAGCTCCTGAGGCCCTCCCCGACCTCTCTCTCTGGCAGCTTGTACAACAACTGCATCTGCGACCTCGGAGCAGAGAGCCTGGCCCGCGCGCTCCCCGAGATGGCGTCGCTGCGGGTGCTGGAGTGAGTGGGCGTCCAGGCAGAGGTGGCTGGTTCTGGCCTCAGGAGACGGGGGTCTCCCCCCGGCATCACGGGAAGGGCTGGGTGTGGTGGCGGCCTGGGTCAGGAGCAGGGTGGTCCCAGGGGGCAGGGGTCAGTACAGGTTTCTCTCCCCAGCGTCCAGTACAACAAGTTCACAGCCGCGGGTGCCCAGCAGCTGGCCTCCAGCCTGAGAAAGTGTCCTCACGTGGAGACGCTGGCGTGAGTCTGGCTGGCCCCGAAGGTGGGATGTGTCGCTCTCGGGTGGGGCGGGTGTGACCAGAGCTCCAAGACTGCCCCGGGTCCCTGGCCTTGGCCTCTTCACCTGTGGGGGGGATGGCGACGTTGGAAGTGGAGTGAGTCGAGGTGAACAGAGCTCTCAGGAGTAGCCGGCACACAGCGGCATTCAGAATGCTTCCCCAGGAGGAACCGCGGGGACTGCCTCCTTCCGTCCAGCCCTCCTGGCCGTGCGCCTGGCAGCCCCATGCTGCCCAACTTGTTTGTCTTGGGCCACGTGATGTCGAGTGTCCGGTGCTGGTGCCGGCTGCTCTCCAGAGCACTTTGATTCCCACACCCGAGTCTTCCAAGATGGGTCGGGGGGCGCCTGTAAGGTCCACTTTAGAGATGAGGAGGATGAGGTGCAGAGCAGTGGCCCACCTTCTGAGGTCAGACAACAGGTCAGCAGCAGAACCACAGAGGGGGCTCAGAGCTCCCCCAGCCCCACACTGGTCTGCGCCCAGCCAGTGGGGAAGTCGCCCAGGTTCAGGGCTGGGCAGGAGGAGGGGTTTGGGGGCAGCTGGCCCAGGAGCCCAGACTCCTCCTGTCCTCTAGCGTGGTCACTGAGCCCCATCTCTCCCTGCAGAATGTGGACACCCACGATCCCCTTTGGTGTCCAGGAGCATCTGCAGCAACTGGACTCCCGGATCAGCCTGAGATGACCCTGGCTGTGCTCTGGACAAGGTGACGGGGTGGGCTCAGGAGGGAGGGCGATGCCTGGGCTCAGTGTCCCTGTGAGGGTGGATCTAAATGGAGGGCCGGGTGGGTGGGGGACTACGCCTGGGTCCATGCGTTACCAGCGCCCTGCAGGTGTCCTCCAGGCTGGGGACTTGGCCACGGTAAGGCTTACCCTCCAGGGAGGGTCAGGCTGAGCCGCCCCACACCCGCAGCCTTGGCGTTGGGAGCCCTTCCTGGGGACTTGCGGGGCTTTCTGCGGATGGGTGGGCCCTTGGGCTTATCATAGGAACTCGCTCTGGAAGTTCCTGCTGCTCCACATGAGGACCACTGTCCCCTGGCCCCGTGCTCCCTCCCCGGGCCCCGCCGGCCCTGGCTGTGCTGCAGTCACTCCAGCCCTCCCCCCTTGTTCCTGGGGCCCCGCCTGCCCTGTTGGTGACACCCTCCTGAAGCTTCTGGCTACTCCCGCCCACAGCACGGACTCTGAGGACGCTGACGCGCTGGACCTAAGCACCCCATGAGCCTCGGCATCCTGGCCCCCGGCCCCTGCCGGCTCAGGATCGGCCCGTCCAGCTGGTGAAGGGACTCATCTTCGCGGGCAGGCCCGGGCCCCACCCAGGCTCCCCAGGGCCCAGGCACATGCCAGCCTGTTCAGCTGCTCTGAGCCCTGGTGGACAGACAGGTGGGCGCCTGGTAGCAGCCACGGCCCACGCAGGAGGCCTGAGCCGTACCCTGTGCACCACTGGGCAGTCATGGCCAGGCCAGGGCCCAGGCCTGAGGCAGCCTCCTTGGGGCCCGCCTAGTGTCCCTGCTGCTCTCCAACAGGGCACTGATGGGCCACTCGCCTCGTGAAGACACCAGCAGGCCACCAGCCTGCCAGTCCCCCAACCTGAGCAGGCCTGCGGCAGCTGCTCCGTCTGTGGTCCTCGCTGCTGCACTGACTTTGGGCCAGAACTCTGGACTTGAGCCGGAACAGCAAACCATACACTAAGGGGGGGGAGCCGCCTGGAGCCCTGCTCTGCCTCCCCCTGGGTCGTCCTTTCCACTCCGTGATGAAGTCCCACGCGGGTCTTCGGCTGGCCTCGGGTTTGGGCTTACACCATGATTTCCATTTGGGTATCCACCGTCTGGTCACCCCCAGCCACGGCTTCAGTTGGCACTCACACGGTTGGTTGGGAAGGACTTGGCAGGGACAGCTCGCCTGTCCCCCGTGGCACCAGCTGGGGCGACCTGAGGGTCCCTTCCCCTCTCCATGGGGCTAGTCTGGGCATCCTCATAGCTGGTGGCTGGACGGCAGGGTGGTAGCCCAGAGAGAAGAGGCAGTGACAGAGGACAGGGAAGGGGAGCAGAGAGTGTCCCAGGACAGCGGTGTTCAGAGCATTGCTCTGCCACCTCATGTCGGCCACCAGCCAGCGGGACAGGGGCTGCTCTCCTGCCCACCACAGCACTGGCCAGCGTCCACCCCGCCCGCCAGCGTCCTGCCTGGTCTTTATGGCTTCCTGAGATTCAGGGAAACTCATTTTCCTGGGCTGGGCAAGGTGGCGGCACCGTCTGCCCCACAGAAGGGAGCTCCTCTGCCCCGCCCTGCCCGGCCCCCCCTGGGAACGGTGTCCCCACCTTGGCGCCGCAAGCCCAGAAGGGACCCCAGCTCGCTCAGCCGCCAGTGGGCCTGCTGCTCCTCCCGCTGGCGTGGCCTGCTCCGCAGGGACAATCTGCTCTCTCCTGGTGGAGTGGAAGCCGATGGCTCAGCTGCAGCAGGCCAGCCCCAGGCCCACAGGGTCAGCCTGGTTCCCAAATGCTGCTCCTCTTCCCAGCAAGTGGGGGTGGGGCCAGCAGGGCCCGAGGACACAGCCAGCCCTGGGTGAACCTTGGTGACTCTGATCACTGTGTGCCAAGTGCCAGGCTAAGCCCTTCCTACCTGAAGGGACGGAGGCACAGCCCTCAGAAGCACAGACCTCTCGTGCAAGGGACTTCTCTGTGCCTCGGTCTCCTGTTTGTAAGATGGGCAGAGTCACAGCACCTCTCCACAGGGTCGTGGGACCATCCAGTGGTGAAGACACTGGGCAGCTGCGTCTCACTCCCGCCTCGTCCTTGAGGACTCAAAGCCACCAGGAAGGCCCCATGACCCCTCCAATCCCATCACGATTTTACCTTTTCTGCACTGATTTCTGCTGTCAGCTCTGGTCCTAGAGGGTGACTCCAGAAGGGAGGGACCCTCGCTTTGTCCACTACTGTACTCTGCACCCAGCAGGGTGCCTGTGAAATGGAGACTCCTTCTCAGCACAACTTTGCTTGACTCACTCTACACTGTACACTGAGCGTGCAGGGGTGAGTGAGGGCTCAAGCGCGTGCCCTGGCGAGTCTCACACTTTAGCCAAAGTTTGCATCTCTCAGGACAGGGCTGCAGGTGTGATTGGGTGGTCTGTGCAATGCACTAAATCCCTGGACTAGTGGTATTGGGGACTGCACACTCGTCAGGGCTCTGCTTACCAACCCCGGCGTCCTGGTGCGGGACTGCAGCAGCCCAGGGGAGGACATTTTATGATGGACGTGAAGTCATCACGAGAGGTAAATATGTTAACCAGGCGTGGTGGCGCACACTTGTAATCCCAGTGGCTCAGGAGGCTGAGGTGGGAAGATTGCAAGTTCAAAGCCAGCCTCAGTAATTTAGTGAGGCCCTAAGCAACTTAGCAAGCCCCTGTCACAAAATAAAATAAAATAAAATAAAATGGGCTGGAGGTGTGGCTCAGTGGTTCAATCCTGGGTACCTAAGTAAATATTAAATAAATAATAAGGGCTGGGGATGTAGCTCCATGGGCCGGTGGTTCAATACCTAGTACTAACCAAGCATGTGTGGGAGGTATGTGACTCTCTGTGTCAGATGTGGAGTGATGCTGCCATCATCACAATCCTATGAAGGAAGGAGTTGAGATGTCAACTCGCCCCTCAACTTCTCTGGGGATCTCTCTGGGGGTACGGGTGCAGTGTGCTGGAGATAACCCCTGAGCCCCAGTAGCAGTGGGGGTGGTGCTTTGGTGTGACAGCATGGCTGCATGTGCCTCGGACCTTCTCAGCCCCCTCTCCCAGGCCTCTGTCCCTCGGGTGCTCACCGCCTCCTGGCCCCAGCCGTCTTCTTCCGACACCTCTGCACCTCCTTCCCTGAATTGCATGAGGACCAGGGGGCTGCAGCTGCGTCCTCTCGGCTTACTCTCCCTCCTGCAGCCTCCTCACCTGCAGAGTGAAAGTCCTCTCAAAGTCACCAAGTGCTCTGCAAATGGGAGAGAACTATGCCGCTCCTCCAGCAAGCTGCAAGCTGACCCAACTCTGCTGTTCACGTGGAACACCATGCTCACGGCTGGATCTCCCACCCAGCACCCCGACCCTCCTGCCCTTTGTGAACCCCAGGTTCTGCAGGAGAGAACAAAACCCAGACAGGCCCCCAAGGAAATGAATTGCATACATTTTTAATGGAAATAAGAGCGCCTCCTAAGTATTGCTTTTACAGGTATATCGAAACCAAGTATTCACACCACCCGCATTTTCAAAAATATATTTCTGGCTAGAGGAGCATCGTGGCCCTGCTCCAGCACAAGGCCTCAGTTCTGCCAACTCAACGAAAACAAGCCACTTGAAAGGAGCAGTCAAACCTGTCCCCCGGTTCCTGGGCTCCTGCTCCTGGGCCACTCCCTAAACAGTCGCTGCATCCAAGACCAGCCTCGGGCTACACCCAGACGGCTGAAGGCTCCACTGGCATCCAAGGAGCGGAGGTGCCCTCTCCGGGTGCAGCGGGGAAGCAGGTGCCGCCGGGCGTGGAGCGGCAGACTCTGGCTGCGTCCCGTAAACATCCATCCCAAGGCCAGGTCCTCTGCTGCAGCTCAGGTCCCCCCGGGCTTGGCCCTCCTCGGTCTCCTTCAGCTCGCTTGGGGCGGGTCACGCAGCTCTTTGCTGGCACGAAGCCTTCGAGGGGATCAGACCTGAGGAGGAGAAGGGGCTTTGCCAGCGAGGAGGCGCTGCCCTGCCACTGGCCAACCTGCCAGGCCTCCAGGGCTGGGCTGGGGTCATTTTACAGTGATCCTTATTACAGACTCTCGATGAGTTCACAGGATGCTGAGAACCCAGGCCAGGGAGGGGCGCAGTGCTGGGGGTTGGGTGGCTGCTGTGGGGAGGAGCAGGCCTGGGGAGGCGGGCTGGGCAGCTCTCCCTCCTTGCGGGAAGGTGGGGCGCGCCCTCCAGGAAGGCTCTTTGGCCACAGCCAGGGCACCCAGTGGAGGCCCACTTGGCTCTTCCTCCCAGGGCGCGGCCCGTCCCTCCGGCCCAGCCCCGTGGCAGGCCCTCTCCTTCCTTCCCCCCTCTGTGCCAGCTGGGTGCCAGCATCTCTGCGCACCTGGGGGTCCCAGCCCGCCTCCTTTGAGCTCTCACCAGCCCTGCCCTGGTCCTCGCCTCTTCCGACAGACACCCTCCAGAACCAGTTAGAACTCTTAGGCGGCACGTGCAGTGTGTGTCCTTCAGCAGGGCACTGCTGGCATCGGGCCACGGCATTTTTTTAGGGTCCTGGGGATTGAACCCGGGTGCTTCCTCACTGAGCTAGGATCCCAGTCCTTTTTATTTTGCAACAGGGTTTTGCCAAGTTGCTGAGCCAGGCCTCACACTCATCCTCCTTCTGCTGAGCCAGGTGTGTGCCACTATGCAGTTCTTGGATGTGAGGGGACCATTTCTGGGCATGGCTGGCTTACTAGCACCCCTTGTCTGTGACCACTAAATGCCATCAGCACTTCCAGCTATTGTGATGGCTAAAAATGTCCCCACCCCATTTCCAAGGGTCACCTATGGGACAGAACCGCTTCCACTGAGAACTAAGCATCAGTTTACAGGCTACACCCCAGGCCCACGGAAGCGCAGTGACCTGCCTAGAGTTGGACAACGTAAGAGGCAGGGCCGGCCCTGCACAGTGACGACTCTGGGAAGGAAGCGAGCGCTTGGTGAGCTCTTCCCGGGCGGCCTGGGCGGCCCCACACCCTTCCTGGCACTCACCCTCCAGCACCCTGCTTGCCCTAGGCTGCCAGAGCTAGTGTCTCCCACGGCTGCCCTCCCCTGGGGAGGACCTGCAAGGTGCAGGATCCACACCCCGGCTCCCTCACCAGAGGCTGGCCAACTCTGAGGCCCATTCTGCATTCACTCTGGTTCCCGAGTTCTGGAGTACCAAGCTAGGACACAGGGTAACCTACTCAATGACATCGCTTCCTGGTCTCTTCCCTTTCCTGGCTCACTTCCCACCTGGGATCGTCTCCCAGATAAATAACCAGCACTTGAATCCCTGTCGTCTCAGTCTGTGCCTGGGAGAGCTTGCCAAGATGGCGCGTTACATGGCCGTTCCATTCCACCCGCTGTCCACCTCCTGGGTGAGGGACTATGCTATTTGGTCCCAGAGCCCATTTCAGGCATGTGGACCAGGTACTGGAGACACAGAACCACGGTGAGGCCTCACCCTTTGCCTCGTAACTGCAAATAGCATCCTGGCAGAGACCCCGACAGCTGCTGGTCAGGCAGGGGCTCCCCGCACACATCATAGGAGCTCACCTCCAGCCTGCGCAGGCCCTGCCCAGCCTGTGGCTGGGACTCCCAATGCCCCCCGTCTCACGGTATCCACTGGCCGGTCACCTGTTATCACGAGGCCAGGTCTCCATGTCTTGTAGTATCATAAAGTTCTTCTATTTCAAAATACTTATTTCACTCTACAAAGAGCTGACTTAGAACCACCAGGTAATAATAGTGCAGGCAGCAGCGCAGAGGACATGACAGTGTCACGGGAGGCCTGGGAGACCCTGACCCTAGTTGGTTTCCCTCCACAGCTGAGAATAAAGGGGCCTGATGAGGGCGGTGATGTGCCTCACGTCACACAGAGTTGAGGAGTGACGTGATCCGTGGTCCTAGGTTTCAGTGCATGTGGCTGGAGACGTCCTGGGAACAGTCTGACTTTCCTGTCACCCGCTTTGGCTGCGGTAGATCAACCCCCTGGTTACTCTGGCTTGCAAGTGCAGCTTGGCAACCCCAGTGACAACCACCGTGGAGGCTGGCACTCTCCAAGCGCTCTCGGCCTTTTCCTGGCGAGGGCAGCTGCTCTGATCCTCTTGGCTCCCTTACTCCTCTAGACACCCTCGGAGGTGAGGCCAGGGGGCCTGTCACCTGCATTTTGGACGGGGCTCAGAGGTGAAGAAAGGTGTGCAAGACCACATGGCTTGCAAGGGACAGCGCTGGGGTTTGAAACTCCCACGTGTTGGACATGGTGGAGCACGCCTGTAACTACAGCAACTCAGGAGGTTGACACAAGAGGATTGCAAGTTCAAGGCCAGCCTCAGCAATTTAGAGACCCTATCTCAATAAAAAGGCCTTCAGCCTGGGCACAGTGACACATGCCTACAATCTCAGTGGCTGGGGAGGCTGAGGCAGGAGGATCATGAGAGTTCAGAGCCTGGCTCAGCAACTTAGTGAGGCCCTAAGTAACCCAGCGAGACCCTGCCTCTAAACAAAATATTAAAAAAGGGCTGGGTGTGTCTCAGTGGGTAAGCACCCCTGGGCTCAATGTGGTACCAAAAAAGATTAAACAAGTAACAAGGGAAGGGTGCAGCTCAGTGATAGAGCACCCCTGGGTTCAGTCCCCAGTACCAAAAAAAAAAGAAAGAAACTTAGGAACTTCCGGTCTGACCCCAAACTCCTCTCAGCACTCGAGGTCCAGCGTGGCAGCTGAAGAGCAGCCTGGAGCTGCAGCTGTGGGGTCCCAGCAGTTCTCCACGCCTGGCGACTGCACTTCAGCTCACTGTGGCCACACATGTCCCCCACCCCGCTCTCGCTCCTCCGTCCCGTCCTCGGTTCCTCCATTCTGCCCTTTAACTCCAGAACTAGTCTGCTGGGCCAAGGCCCACCGATGCTCTGCTCATACTGGAGTACTGGGTGCCTGGCCACCAGAGGGGACCTCCTGGACATGGCCATCTGGGAGATGGCAAGGCTGGATGGTCTAAACCAGAGGAAAGCGAACAGGAGAAGGTACAGAGATTATGAGAGACACAGGCACCCTCTTGATAGTCGGGATGCAGAGAAAATGCCCGTGAGAGCAGACAGCCGAGTCACGGCCACTGGCTTGCAACCTTCCATTACATCATGGCAGGCCGTTTCCCAGGGCTGGACCGAGGGAGCGGCTGGCGGCTCTTCTCTGTCAGGATGACACTGGGAACTGGATCTGTCTGAAGGACTCCTACATGAGGACCTGGCCTACGCTAGGAAATTATTCTTGTGTCTTCTGGGTGCAGAGGGCGATGCTCTGAACGTGTTGGTGGGGGTTCTTCTGGGCAGTTCTGTGGCCCACCAGCTGCCCCTCTGGAACAGGCTTGTCTGGGCCACTTCCGGCTCTCTCTTCCTGTGTGACTGCAGGCAAGTCACCCAATCTCTCTGGTCCATTCCCTCATCTAGAAATGGGGTCAGTGCCCATGTCATCAAGCACACACAAGGCACCAGCCCCTTCCGGGGTTCATCCCCAGCAGTGGCAGGGAGCCCTCAGTGCTAGGAGACCCTGACTTCTAGGACTACCCCTGTACATCTGGGGCCTCCATCCTGGGAGTAGGTCGTGCAGCAAGAGGGCCTTCACCTCACGTCACTGCCAAGGACATGGTTGGGACCTGGCCATCTCCCTGGCAGCTGCAAGGGCCCTGAAAAGGAGGACTGTCTCTCTGCAAGGGTCCATGTCCCTGGGGGAAGCCAGTGTCATGGATAAGTCGGGCCATTTCTCAAGCTTGGGTTCTGATGTCTACGCTTGCTATCAAGTTCATCGGCCTAGGTCTACCAAGTGCCTCCAGGCGGTGCCTGCCCAAGACTTGGGAGCCTTCCTGAGTCCTGTCAATCCAAGAATCACCTGGACATTACAGCACAGCTTGAGTGTCCCTGTCCCAAGTGCCTGGACTAGAGTGTTTCACATTTCAGATCCTGGTGTATTTTCACGAACAAAATGAGTTACCTTGGGGATGGAATCAAAGTAATTCCTTTAGGTTTCACCTATGCCTGTTACACAGTCTGAAGGTAATCTTAAGGCTATTTTTAGTGCACGCAGGTCGGGGAGGAATACTCTACTTGTAGCAACATGCTGAAGCTCAAAAAGTTTTGGATTTCAGATTTTCAGATCAGGGATGCTCAACCTGAATTTTAGATCGATGTAGTTTCTGGGGGGATTCTGGGGATTGAACCCAGGGGTGCTTTATACTTGATCAATGAGCTACATCCCAGCCCTTAAAGTTGCTGAGGCTGTCTTTGAACTTGATATCTTCAGCCTCTTGAGTTGCTGGGATTGATTACAGGAGTGCACCACTGTGTCCAGCAATGCACGTCTTTTTAAAACTAAAGTTTAAACCCTTTAAAACCAAGGTTTAAAACCCCTTTATGTCACTATGATAAAAAACACCATCACCTGCCGTAAACAGAAGGCAAGGCTAAAAATACAGTAAGGATTAAACCACTGATTCTGGCTCCAGGTCCTTGGCTGCCCCATTGGGTGTGGAGCTGGTCAAAGGGGAAAGCACTGGTTCCCAGGAGGGTTGGGGCACCGCAGGCTCTGCTCCGTCACCTCTTGGCGCTGGATATCTGGGAGGCCCGACGCGGCCACCTCATAGCTGGGCATCTGGGGCGAGGCCTGAACCTCCCCAAGCCTCAGTTTCCCTTCCTGTGTAATGGAGCTAATGAGCCCTGCCAGGCAGCTTCAGGGTGACTCAGGTGAAGCTAGGAGAGGTGGGAGGGGCGGTTATTTTTAACCCCCAGGAATCCCAGGAATGAAGCCCTCCCCCACAGGGAGTTCCCAGCCCTGCAAGGCCATGCTTGGGGCCTGGGACAGCTGTGAAGAACTTGGGCACTTGGCACTCAGGGTACTGCTTTGTGGGCAGCCTGAACACACCTCCTCCATGCTGGCCACAAGCAAGGGTGCCCAAGGAAAGGG